TTTCTTTCTTTCTTTCTTTCTTTCTTTCTTTCTTTCTTTCTTTCTTTCTTTCTTTCTTTCTTTTTTTCTTTCTTTCTCAGAAAGAAAAATCAAGCCAGGCATGGTGGCATATACCTTTAATCCCAGAGCTTGGGAAGGAAAGGCAGGTGGATCTCTGTGAGTTCAAGGCCAGCCTGGGATATAAGTTGAGACCCCATCAAATGCTTGACTTCAGTCCTGTATATTAAAGAAGAGTCCACTGTAATGGGATTAGCCTGGTCAAGCATTGTCCTTATGCCCACCAGGGCACGTAAGGAGTGGAAGTGTTCCTCAGATGCTCCCTACATTGTCTTAGCGGCCATAGCCCTGCCTTTCCCCTGGCTCTTCCCTGCTCTCGTGTTCAAAGTAGGCCTCTTCTTCTTCTTCCTCACGTATCACCTTCATCAGCTCAAGAAAGGTGGGGAGCGAGCCCTGATCCTTCAGCTCCCGAAGCCGGCACCACAGAACATTGGTAAGGTTGGCCCCAGCCATGACCTGCTCCAGGCGGACCTGGTCAGCGATGTTCTGGGGGATGGCCCGTTTGTCCACAGCTCTCCGGAGCAGAGTTTCCAGACGAAGCACATAGGCTGAGATCTTCTCCCCTTCCTGCTGATAGGTCTTTAGGTACCTTACCTGGGAGGTCCTACGGCTCTCCAGGCTCCCAAACACCTGCTTGAAGGCCTCCAGACACTCCTCCACACTGATGGAAGGGTTGTCTGCCTGAACGATGTGCATGAGATCCAGGGCAGGGCCACGGAGGCTCTCCATCATCCACTTTTTCTTCTCTGCCTCGGGAATGGGCCACTCCTTGGCTATCTCAGTGGCCTGTTCCAACCAGACCTCAAAGGGCTCCTCGTCTGGGGTAGCTGCTGTACTCCCAGAGAATACTCGCAGCTTCGAATACCTCACAGGCAGCAGAGGCCTTGGGGCATGAACCATTGCCTGCCCCACCAAGTGGGCCAGTAGCTCAGGGGATGTGCAGGGCGTGGCAGCTGGAGACACTCCCTCACGCTTAAGGGCTCGGAACATCCCTGCGACTGTCTGTCCTTCTTTTTCTAGAAAGAGGTTCAGTCTTTGGAGAAACTCGGTGTCCTGATTAGGGGTCTTAAAGATCACTTTCCAGACCCCCCCTTTCGCCCGCACCTCACTGGGGACCACAGACATATCCGTGCCCTCCAGGAGTTCCAGTAAGACAGCACTGGTGGTGTCTTGCTTCTGGAAGATCTTGCCTAGTAGCCGGTAGCGGCCCACACACTTGAGCGCTTCCTGGAGGACTGCCTGGATCTCAGGCTCGCCACAGTCCGCTGGTATGCCAATCACCATCAAGGACTTCCGGTCATCCACACTCACCATCTTGCACCACTCTTCCAGCAGTGCCACCGCCATCTTCCCAGGATTTGCTTTTTGCACGTAGTCCCAGTCCGGCTCGCTCCCCAAGCAGCTCAAAACCTTGTGGACCAAATGCCTTATCCCTTTACCCAGTAGCAAGAGCCAGGCAACTTCCGGTCTGTCTTCAGACCCGCAAGCAAGGCTGATGGGGTAGGGCAGGATGGGTGGGGCGGGCTGCAGTTACCAGCCCTGCGGCTCTGCGGCCGTGCTTGCTGCTGTTTCTGAGGGCAGTAGGTAGCTGGGTGGCACTGACTCTTAATCACCGTGAGACGCTGGGAACAACTGCTTTCCCCACCATCTCCTGGTTTCTGTCGCTTCACCTCTCTCTAGTCAGTGAGGAGGAGGCTTCCACTCTAGCATCCAAAACTCTGCGGAGTCGCATAGAAAGACGATGAGGACTCCTAGGGAAACAGAGGCTCATTTTTGCTACCCAGCCCTCTACTTCCCAGGATGCACCCACACTCCAGTTTGGGAGGGAACGAGGGTGGACCAAGGGCTCTGACTCCCCCTGTACCTGTTTCTACCCAACTCCGGCGAACCCTCTTCTTTGCTTCACTGTACCGGCTAGAATCCAGTCTTTCCACTCCAAAGCCCCATCAGGGGACAGGATTCAAGACCTTCACCATTCAAAGGATGAATCAGGAGATGGAGTGAATACCTGTTTATGTGTTCCAGGATGTTCCTCCAGAATCAAGGAGCCATGCATTCAGCTTCCCGCTCAGGAGGAGTTTACCATCTCTAGACAATAGTGTGCGTGTGTCTTAACCTCAGCCGAGTCGAGCTGTCCTGCCGCACACAAACGTGGATAACATGTCTTAAAATCTAGTGGTAAAGCCTAATGCACTCATTAAAAACATTAACAGTTTAGTAAAGGATGAAGAACAAATGACACTCCTGCCCAATGTAACAGAGCATCCTAAATAAGATAGAGTTGTTATACTCCATTGAAGAAAACCCCCACCTAGTTGGCAGGATACCCTCCAGTTTGTGGGGTGCTTGCCCAGCATACATGTAGGAAGCCTGGAGTTCAGTTTCTAGCACCACATAAACTGGGAATGGGGTCATCCCAGCAGGGAGATGTAGGCAGGAGGATCAGGGATCTAGCATCATTCTTGGCCACATAGGGAGTTTACACAAGAACCACCTTTAAAAACAGATCCGACTGAGCTGTGTGTGGTGGCACTTCTGGGGTTTGTGAAGGCGAGGCAGGAGGAGGGCAAGTTTGAAGTCAACCTGGGCCATGTAGAGAAATCTTGTCTGAAAAGAAGAAGATGGCATAAACAAGACTAAACAGAATTATCCAAACATTTAAAAATAACTTAAAGATTGGATATAACAGAGAAAAATCAAGCCTCGGAAAAACGAGTGCCCTTTGGAGTTAAAAATCAGTCCTCTCTTGTGTCTAGCCAGGCTTTTCAAGGTTCTCACATGGTAAGCTACCAAACCAACTCTTCCTGTGGTGCTTTGACTAAAATGGGGCCCCAGAAGCACATGTATTCAAATGCTTGGTCCTCGGTAGTCAGTGGAACTTTTGGGAAGGATTTTGAAGGAGGTGTGTCACTGGGGGTGGGCTTTGATGTTTCAAAAGCCCCACACCATTCCCACTGCCAATCACTGTACTGGCGGATCAGATGTAAGCTCTCCGATAACTGCTCTAGCACTGTCTGTCTGTCTGTCTGTCTGTCTGTCTGCTGCTATGCTGCCAGCCATGATGGTCATAGATTCACTCTTTGAAAGTGTCAGCCCCTACTAAACACTCTCTTCTATAAGTTGCCTTGATCACAGTGCTTTGCCACAGAAATAGAAATGTAACTAAGACATTTAAATTTGACATTGTCGTTTAAATTTGTCTGGGCTATAGAGGCGAAAAGCACTATGTCCTCCCAACAGCTTGATCTGCAGAGCTGGAAACACCTCAGAATGTAAAAGGGCGTGGTCCCAGTGACAGTGTGGTCACTTAGACAGGTGGCTGCTTTCAGAGAAGCACCTTAGGCAGCTCCTGAATTGGCTGAACATCACGGCGTGCTGTGTGTGCAAACTAAGATAGCCACGACACCCCCAGACCATTCGTTCTTTTGGGGCCACTGTGGTATGCCAACTTAAATGTTACCATTTGGTGCTTGGCTGTGCCTCTCAGGGGGGTTGTTAGGGTGGTACAACCATTTCCATTTTGGCCTGAACCTTTCCCATCAGGCTGGCCACAAGGATGGCAGCAGCTGCCGAGGGAGCAGCTCCAGTCTTCCTAGAAGGTGCTGAAGGCTGTTTAGAGGGATCCCTGGAAGGGCTGGCCCTGGAAGGGCCAGGAATTTACCCTGTTGGTAGACTGCTTGTCACCATGCATGGACCTTTGACTTAGATCCCCAGCACCAAATATGCCAGCCCGAGTGGCACATGCCCATTATCCCAGCACTTGAGAGGATCAGAAGTTCAACTCCCTTGGCTACATAGGGAGTTTGAGGTCAGCCTGGGGTTACATTCAAGACTCCAAAAGCACAAGAGCAAACAAAAAGGCACTGGATGCCCGGGTCTGCAGAAAAAATTGTCATGCTAAAACCTGCTAGCCTTTGAGACCTTTCCCTCAGGGCTCTGGTGAGGCACTGACGATTCCAGCGGAAGCCTTATATTAAAATGCCAAGCACAGCTGGTGCTGGTGTCCACAGGCCCTCCTCTCACGGTGGTGTGTGTGTGTGTCTGTGACCCCGTCCATCAAGCTCTCTCCGGCAGCTGCGGGTTTGATATCAGCATGCGATCCTTCCCTAAGCAAAGGCTGACAATGGGACTGATTTCTTGGTCACACCGCCCTGTGAGAACACGCTGCAGTAAACTGCCTCCAGTAGACCAAGCCCATCCTCCTCGTGAGCATGCTCAGATCTTCCTCCAGAGCCCCGAAAGGGTGGGCAACACTTCTGCGGTATTCAGCCACCCTGGAAAACCAGGACGGGCTTCAATCCACCCAAGGCAAGGCCAAGGGGTGTGAACAAACAAGGAAAGGCCCAAGATTGGAGCGCTGGCTGGAAAAGCCTCCAACCTGGTAGTCGTGGCTGCACCCGGTATGCGCGCACACAGACACACACTCCCAATCCCCGCCGTTTGGCTGCGCACAATACCCAGCACGTAATCCTCCCCTAAACCGCGATCTATCTTCACGCAAACCTCTGCCGCCCTGGAGAAGGAGCATCTGGCGACCGCGGGCCTCTGGCGCAGTGTGCGACAGGGGCGGAGGAGCTAGGCGGGGCGCCTTGAGAGCCAGAGGAGTCTGGAGTGTGCTTCAGTCTGCTTAGCCCCCAACCATTCTTGGGTGGGGGGACGGTCATCAGTGTGGGGGGAGGGAGCGGGGAGGAGAGATACCAAATCAAGACCCTCCTGGCCTTTCCTGCAGGGCATGGCACCTTCAGATAACGGTGGGGGTCCCCTATCTCTTGGCCGAGCCGGGATCCGCAGCCTGCATTCTTTGCTACGCCCCCAGGCACTACGGGCTGGCATCTTTCTCCGGGTCATGCCTTCCGTTTGCTACGCCCCTCTGCCTTTTCGCCCCTCCATAGCGGCTGCAAGCAGGGAGAGCAGTCCGCGTCCCCTCTGCTCCCCGCAGTCCGCGCCCCCGGCCCCCAGGTCCGTTACTTGGGTGTCCCCGACCAACCCTCGCCTTTTCCAGGGTCGTCCCTCCCCCAGCGTCCTAGCATCCCAGCGCCCCCAGGCTTATGACCTTTGGCTCCCCCAACCCTCGGCCCTCACCCGGGTACAGGGGAGCTCCAGGGCCACCTTAACAATGCAGCGAGGCAGGGAGAGGGAGGGGCTCGGGGCTCGGCTCTGAGCCCACAGGTCCTCGCCCAGCCGTAGCCGTCCGACACTCACCCGGCGCGGAGAGCGCTCCGCTGGGCGGCCGCCGCGCGTCCATTAAACGGGTGGAGTGGCCGCTTCACTTCCGGAGCGCGGGCTCCCGGCGCCCCTCATCCCCCCTCCTGTCCTCCCTTCCCCGTCTGGTCTTTCTGGGTCCCCACCCCTCCCAGTCCCCTCCCTTCCGATCGCGCGTTCCGCCCGCCCCGCCCCACCTCCCCCCCCCCCCCCCCCCCCCCCCCCGG